ATCATTACTTTCAAAAAGTTTGGAGCAAAGCCACAGTAGTACGGATGGGTTTGAGGCTTTTCACACAATAAAATGTACCTATCTTTGTTTTTAACATGTTTTTTCTTTTTTTGTGAAATGTGTATTTAGTTTAATAAATTTGTAGTATGTCATTTCCATTCACATATTACTTTTTAAAAAGAAATAAGAATGTGTATTATCTATGTGTGAAATAAAACATTTATTTTTTATGCTTTGAGAGTTATCCAAAATCATAGAATTGTCAATTACAGTCAGGAGCTCAGTGGTCATCAGTTCCGTGACTTGGAAACTGTCTAAATTTAGAGGCACTTGTATTGTGTTAGTAAATAAGGCAAGATGATATCGTTTCACAGGTTTTAGTGCAGAAGACTGAATAGATAAGCTGCTCCACCCAGTACACTGGTGTTCATTTCATGGTCATCTCATCTGTTGACCATGGATGTAAAACACTTATCTTCAGTGACCTTCCTGTGCATGTAAAAGCACAGCTGTCTGCATGGCAGCAGTTGGACCTCACAAGGTGGATTGTGCCTTCACCCTGGAAAGTTTATGATGCCCTATCGCCATGGTGATGGGATTAGTGATCTCTTGCCCTTTGCCACAGTCTGTGCCAGCCAGGCCACTGGGCCATTGTGACAGACAGTGGTGCCCTTTGTGTGGAGGGCACTGAGTGTGCGCTCAGGCAGACACAGCACTTTTGACTTCATCTGCTTCTTTCAAAACTGGGTCTGAATTATGATAAAGTGGTTGGTTTTAGGCCAAGCAGGTGTATTTCATAGAACCAATGACTTGGGAGTTCAGAATCCTGGGCTTGAATAAGCCTCTGATTAAGCTTATTAAGCTTATCAGCTGTGAAATTTAAAGCAAGACATTTCACTGATAATTAAGCCTCATGAGCACTTATACTGTACACTTTACCTACATCGAATCATTCTGCCATCACCACAGACATATGGCAGCCTGGGCGACAGAGCGAGATTCTGT